TGTGTGTGTGTGTGTGTGTTTATGTGTATGTAAGACTAGTTTAAGTGTTTATGTAGTATGTTGGACTAGTTTAAGTGTTTATGTAGTTAATAAAGTCTTACTTGTATCACACTTGACGTTGTTCAGTGTTTTGCTCATAACTGGAGTCACTTAATCATTCAGATTTATGCTACAAGCTCTTTGTAGAATTGTACAGTAATAAAATTATTTCCCTTAACCAGGAAATTAACGTTCTTAGAATTGACAGACAGTTGACCCTGAGAGGTCAAGTAAATATCTACAGCGGATCTAAATATTCATAATTAATTATAACTAGTTATGATTAATTATTCATATTTCCCCATGAGCTGATTCGCTACAAGTATGACACAGCACAATACACACAGAACAATACATGAGTTCAAAATAGGTGTGGTGTTCACTTGGGTTCATATAAAAAGCACTTCTAAGGAGCAGGTTGGAAAAGCCAAACTGATGAACTTAGATGATGGCAGCAGTGAAAGCATGCAATATCTTGATCACCGGAGCAACCGGGGATTGGGCTGAGAAACTGTTAAGCAACTCTTGGAGGATTCTAGTCAAAAATGGCATATTTTTGCTACCTGCCGTGATCCAGATGGACCGAAGTCTGAGGTGAGTTATAAATAACTAATACAAATAGAAAGCATCAGGTAAATCCAAATGTGCCTTGTTTAATGCATATTATCTTTCTAAAGGCATTGAGAGAACTTGTGAAAATGCATCCAAGTGTGATCACTATCAGACGTCTTGGTAAATGTGCATGTGTCCTTTGTGCATTTAAAATTTTCACTAGAAATAGTTTTTGAGAATTTTGATTTTTTTTTCAGTGTTTTTTGAATACCATTTAATTGCTTAATACTTTAGCACTAATAGTTGTTCTATTAAGTTTAGATGCTGATGATCCATCCAGTGTCAGAGAGTCTGCCAAGAAAGTGGGATCTCTGGGAAACAATGGTTTGAACCTGCTTGTGAATAATGCTGCAATGATGGCAAGTGGCACCATTCAGACCAGCAGTGTTGAGGACATGAAAAAACACCTTCAGCACCAATGTGATAGGACCCTTATAAATCATTAAGGTAATGTAGAAAGCATCGTTAAGAGCTCTAAAACAATTTGTCCTTTGAAATTAATGAAATCTTCTGCCTTCTGGCTAAACATCTAGGCTGGGGCTTTCACTATTTTGTGTCACCGGTACATAAGTTTGTGACTAAACTATTAAAATGAGTGCTTCTGGGGAAGTACTAGTCACTGGATGTGGCAGAGTTTGCGAGATTCATGGCGTTGTACCAAAATAATCTTAAACTGGGACTGGCTGGTCTCATCAGGCTGAGAGACCAGCTAAGACTAAAGACACTGCTGATCTATTATTTAAGTGAGCTACCGCTTTGTTCATCAGTAGTTTCTTGTGTTGCGCTTGCTGCAGGTCGCTCTGAATAGTTTTTTTTTCATTGGTCTGTCAACATGCACTGGAGTTGAATACATTTCTAGAAGTCTAGTCAACTAGTACAAATGAGCTACAATATGCAGTACACTCAATGCCAATACTCAAAAGTACTCATTTTTAATGTTAACGTCATTGTGTCAAATTAACTTAATTTAGAGATATGTAATCCTTTCTCATTTTTTATGTAGGAGTACTTACCATATCTACAAGCAGTGGCCAAAGCCAGAGGGATACCAGGCATGTCCTGTAATAAAGCAGCTATCATCAACATCTCCACTCTTGGGGGGATCCATTGCCAGAATGCCTGCCATGTACACCCAATTCCCAGTGTTTATTGCGTGAGCAAGGTACCACCAGTGTTCTGCTTTGGCTCTAGTTAAACTAGATCCCATTCATTGCCCATGATGTATTGATGGCATGAGTCAATGTTTAACTCAAATGCTATGTTTACCTATCAGGTAGGTTTTAACATGCTGACTGTGTTAGCTGCTGAGGAGTTAAAGGCGAATGAGATCCTCTGCATGGCCCTTCATCCAGGATGGGTGAAGACTGAACTGGGTGGAGAAAAAGTGAGTGTTGATCCCTTAAATTCATGTTAAGTGAAATGCAGCAGGTGCTTTCGATTTCTGCATAATTTCGTTCAAATATACTTTTTTCGAGCACAGCTTTTACTGTTTCTTTATCAAGTTTCTGGTCATATTATATTGTAACTATCACAGTCAAAATAATAAAACCATTTTGTTATACAAAATAATTTGCATGTTTGCAGGAAATGAGTGGGTGACAGTACTACCAACCAGAGTATGTGAGCGGAGCGGCGTGATTTTGCCTGGAGCTAGGAGCGGATTTTTTGAAAGTCGGAGCATTGAGGTTTTCACTCACTCCGAGAACGCTCTGCTACTGCTCCGTCACGAGCACAACTTATGCCAACTCACGCATTAAACATAATTAGTTAGCTTGACAGGTATGTGGATCACTTATGGAGCGGAGCGAGGAGTGGAGCGGCGTGATTTTGCCTGGAGCTAGGAGCGGATTTTTTGAAAGTCGGAGCATTGAGGTTTTCACTCACTCCGAGAACGCTCTGCTACTGCTCCGTCACGAGCACAACTTATGCCAACTCACGCATTAAACATAATTAGTTAGCTTGACAGGTATGTGGATCACTTATGAAGGTTAAAATGGCGATGGAGGAGTGCGGGAGGTTAAAGCATGTTGTAAATTGTACAGTTTGTTAATCTCCACTCGAAACTAATGTGCTGCTACATTGCTGCACACGGACAGAGCACACAAGCTCGCACATCACGTACAGATCGCGCACATACATTCAGGAATGAAGAAAATTTGGTCAACGCTGTCCTGTGATTTATCAGCTTAAAAACGGAAAAGTTACAGCATTTTCTTTCTGTTTCTGAAGTAACTACCCTCAGCTTCGCCATAGTAGAGAGACGTTGCACAGACAAGTAGCCTAAGCTAAGTTTAAGCAGTCATTTAATATGGACTTGGGCTAATTGTAGTGTTACAATAAACCATGTTAAAACTATTATTATAGTATTATGCATTTATTTTTCATTTCTGAACAGAACTTTGATTTTTCAAGCATAGTGAAATAATTTAGCCGCGGAGCGGTGTTTCTGATCAGTGGAGTGGAGCGGAAAATGGTGAACCCGGAGCGG